AGGGTGACATTTGAGACTGGAGTTTTGTGTTGCATATTTCTGCATGCTAATTAGAAAGGGGATGTCAGTGTTCAATAATGGGATTGTTTTGCTTCCTAGAAGATCTGCAGAAAAGCAGCTGCCAGCAGTGTACTTTGGGGGGACAGAGATATAAAGTGGGGTGAAGAGAGTTCATGTTTGTCGTTGAGGAAAATGAGACCGTCTGGAGTCCTGTTCTTTAGCGGGCCCTGGGAGCCGTCTGTTGTGATAAGCTCTGTTGGCAAACTGTGCTGTGGAATGTTCTCTGTTGATAATGAAAGTAACCAGATGAAACCTGTGCTGTCTTTGGCTTTTCCCTGAACTTGAAGATGGTGAGGCGAGAGCTAGGGAAATTTTATTTAATTTCTTGCTCAGAGATCCTAAGAGATTTCTGGAGTTGAGTGTGAGGATGTTAGACACAAACAAATCTGTGTTTTAATGCCCTTCATCATTTACAAATTATGTGGCTTTCATCTCCTTCAACTGAAAAAATGAGACTGCTGGTTCCTTTTGCTGCAAAATAACTATAAATACTAGTTTGTCTCCTCTTTGGTCTCATACTCAAAGTCATGGGTACAGAGGAGCATCTAATTACAGGATGTTGGTTTTATTACCCTTTTATATATAAATATATGTTTACAGGGTGGGGCATGTGGGAAAAAGGATAGTAGAAAGTGATGGAAGGTTTTTGAATGTCATAGTGCCAAAGTAGCATAGGGATGTGCTATTCGGGAGTCACTAATGGAGCGGAAAGACATGCCAGGAGTCATGTCATTTAAAACTGGATCCACAGTACTGCTGTCTAGGATGATCCTCGGCTGGGGTTTATGTGTGCTGTCACTGCAAAGTATTGCTGAGTGACACTGTGTACCTTACAGACTGTGGCAGCCCTCGGGGAACACAGACGTGCACAGAAACAGTAGTGGCTACTGCCACAGAGAATTTATAACCCGGAAGTGAGAACCTATGCTAAGGCAAACCACTCGATACAATGCGGCAGAAGACGTTAGAAAGGGAGCGGTGTGTGTCCCCCTGTTGACACAGCAGGGCTGATGAGAGTGCGGCTTCGATCCAGCCTGTGGTTTCACAGATAATGTCCCGAGGACAGGTAGTAGTAAGGACGAGGGACAAAGGGAAGGGTGGGTACAAGAGCCATGAGCTGCTGAGGGGGCCCAGTTTGAGGGGCTACTGAATGGAGCCCTGTGGAGTCAGAGTGAGAGAGCATGCAGAAGGCAGCTGTAGACCAGCCTGGAGAGTGGGTAGGGCCAGAGGCCTCAGGGCTGTGTGGCCAGGGCAAAACCAGATGAGCTGGATGTCTGTGTTCACGGAGCGTATAGATGTCTCTCTGTGCTCGTACAGGAGATTTTTATAGACACTACCTCCGAAAGGAGAAGGAATCTTCGTCCACTTGCAGTTGACACTGCCCTCATTGGAAACGTTTTGTCTGTGTTTCGCTCAGGGAATGTCACTACTGCCTTGGGCTTTTGGTCATTTTCAAATGCTTAGCCTTAGAACAGAAAAGAGTTTCCTCATGCTGAACTAACAGTGGCACCCTACAAGAGCCCTCTGTGCCCCTCTCCTACAAAAGGGGGGATGGTCTTCTCTATCTGAACATGGAGACCCTGAGGTGCGGCAGAATCACCTGTACACTGGTTGGAATCTTGCGTATCAGGCCTACCCTGACCTATGGAACCAGCATCTGTAATTAATGTTCCTAGGCTGCTGTTTGCCTGCTGAAGTTTCAGAACACTGATATTTGTTGTGTAAAGGGATTTGTATCTTTATATCTTACTGCTAGTACATAGCTTAGTGCTTAAAATAAAGATTCTCTCCAAGGATAGAAATGAAATTATAACTTTGTGTAAGTTGAGAAGCAGCACAGATTTGATTCATTCCTGCTCAAAACCCAGGCATAGTACAGTCTTCCTTAAATGTTTCATAAAACTCTTAAACATTGATTTGCAGCCCTCATTAATTTTTAAGTGTGAGTTAGAAACTATTTTCTTTGGCTTTGGTCATGGCACATAGATTGTGCCTGTTAATTAAAGCCAGCCTTGCCTTCCTCTTTCCCTGCCTTCCCTTCCCTCCCTCCCCACCACCCCTGTTAGATTTTATTGTAGAACCTGTTCTGAAAATAGCAGAGAGGAAGAGAAATACATTCCCACTTGGGCTGGAGCCCGGGCACCTCAGGAAGTGTCTGTTGGGTAACGTGGAGACTGTGGGACAGCCAGGTTCTGGGCTCATAGGAACGATGCATCCTGCCAAGCAATCACCTTAATTAATTGTCTGATCATTTGCAGTACCTCAGTTATCTCTGTCCTTCACACAGAGTCTCCTGTACATGCTGCATGTTCTCTGCAAGGTCTGTGCTTCTGCCTTGGCTGGACTTGGCCTACTTAGATTACACTGGAAGTTTTTGAAAAGATGGAGTTTTTTGGAAGGCATAGATTGGATCTCAAAATCCAAGACTCTAGATACAGGCAACAGAGTCCTGAAGTAGCCATGGGACTCAGTATATGACCCACCTGCCTGCCTGCAGCTACATGGGAAAGATAGTCTATAATGCTGCACTCTTGTGGTACATCAACAAATCTGCTGGTCCTTTGTAACTTGAAAACTAAGGACAGGCAGGTAGGCACTCCTGGAAAATCTACGTGTGTTTGTCAGATTACTTGGAACTTTGTTTCATAGTCATTTATTTCTGTCATAAGCTGTGGATATCAAAGAGCAAAATAATTTTAAAATGATAATTTTTGTGAGCATGACTCCAGTTGAATGTCACCAATCTGAGCAACAATAATCAGGAAATGAAGACGGCAAAGTCCCATCCTTTATCCCCCATTTTCAGTGGGTTCTAACTTGTAGATATCAACCTTCATTCAACATATAATTCTAAAATGAGTGTGGTCTTTTCGTATATTAGTAATGGGGAGAAATTGAAATTAAATTCAGCAGTGCGTTATCTCTGTTTGTTTGTTTGTTTGTTTAATTCATGGTGGAGGTTTATTTCTAAGCCAACAGTCTTAATTTTCTAAACCTCACAAACACTCCTCAGTGGAAAAGTTGTGGTATTTGGTCTAGGCACACCTTTACATGACCTTGTAGAGATGAGTGTGTGTGTTCCTTGTTGTGTAGAGCTAGCTTTTCCTTGTGTGAGGGTTAGCCCCTCACACCACTATGGGATGCCTTCCTTCAAGTTTCTTCCTCCCAACTTCTTGGTCTTTAAGTTGAGAATATAAAAGATTTTTCTCTATAAGACACCAATAGATTAATTCCTGTGTGAGAACCTAAGTCTTAACCGAGGCCTCCAGTGTGAGCTTATCTGAAACTGCCAACTGGGGTCTGCAGAGTTTAAACATTGTCCCTTTACCCCCTGGGTTTTTTCTTAAGGTTATTTATTTTATTTATGTGTATGATTGTTTTGCCTACCTGTACTAATGTGCACCATATGCATGCCTGTGCTCACAGATGTCAGAAGGGGATGTCAGATTCCCTTGAACTGAAGGTTCAGGTGGTTGTGAGCCACCAAAATGGATCCTAGGAACTGAGCCCAAGTCCTCTGTAGGAACATCAAGTGCTCTAAGCAGTGGCTCCTCGCTCCGCTCCTGTGTTTTTTAACTATATGTTCAGAGTTTATTGGTGGCTTGGATTATTGCATCCCTCTCAAAAGAAAATAATTTTATGTGTGCTCATAAAGTTATTGATTCAAAACACAATTTAAAGAAACAAATGTTAGGGTTGGAGAGATGACTCAGTTATTGAGAATGCTTGCTGCTCTTCCAGATGAGCAGAATGTGGTTCCCAGAACCCCCATTGAGCAGATCACACCCATCTATAACTGCAGGTCCTGGGCCTCCCATGCTCTCTTCTGGTTTTCACAGGCACCCACACAAGCAAGCACAGCAGATGCTTGTAGATACACACATACACTCATACACAAAAGATTTGAAAATATATATTGTAGGGCCAGAGAAATAGCTCAGTTGCTGGAGAGTTGGCTGGTGTTCTTGGAGCTCTGGGTGGGACCCAGCAGGCATGAAAAGAGTGGCAGTACACGCCCCAGGAAGCAGAGGCAGGCAGCAGACCAGCCCAGCCTGGGCATCGTGAACCCAAACCACGCTACAGGAAAGCAGGTGTTCCATTAAAAGGAAATAGAAAAGTAATGATAGTTAGACGCGAGAACCTGGTAGAAGCACACTCTTTGTCCAGGCACCTACCCTACGGGCACCCACTGTACTGGTTATCCAATATGTTTTCCAAGTCTAGATTAGTCATAAAGTACTCAAGAATTTTTTTTTTCACATTGGGACACACCTCTTAAAGTCTCATTTAGGACAATATCAAAATCACTTGCTTTGAAACATAAATCTGTAGAAGAAAATTATCACTGCTGTCATTGTTTCTTCCACTCACTGTTTTCTTTTTTATTTAAATTTGTTTTATTTTGTTTTTTTGGTTTTTGTTTTGTTTTATTTTATTTTGACTTTTGAGACAGGGTTTCTCTGTGCAACAGCTCTAGCTGTCCTGGAATTCGATTTGTAGACCAGGCCGGACTTTAACTCACAAAGTCGGTTCCCAAGTGCTAGGATTAGAGGTGTGTGCCACCACCACCCACCTTATTTAAATTTTTAATTATTTGTTTTTAATTTATTTTTTGAAGTTTCTGAGGGTTTCGCGCATGAGTACTGTATTTACAATTTTTACACCCCACAGCTTCCTTAGACTCCTCCCATGACTCCCGTTCTCTCTCAAACTCATGACTTCTTCAGTTGTTCTTGTTACATAAATCCACACAAACGGCTAAGACCCTTTAGTGTTGCTCTTTTGTATATGTATTTAGGGATGACCAGTTAGGGCTGGAGAAAACCAGTTCTCCCTCTTTCCACAGCCATTGATTGACTATGGCTCTCTATCTAGAGGCAGGGTTTCAGGAAATCTCCCATCCACATTGGCATATCAACTGACCTTATCATTAAGCCACCTTAATATTGCTTAGTAAATTTTGGCTTTATGTCATGCTTGCACAGGGGCCCTGCATATCTTCTCTGTATTATTCCAATGTTAGTATAAGTGTCGTCAAAGAAAGCATTTGATTAACTTTCTCTTATGAAGATTAAAGTTAAAAATCAAACCTTTTTTTTTTAAAGCATTGTTTCTCATTTTGAAAGTTAATTGAATTTACTAGTTAGAATTTAGTAATTAAAACAAATTTAAAATGGGCATCTGGGACTGGGAACATAGGTAGTTAAGTGTTTGTCATGTAAGTATAAAGACCTGAGTTTGATCTCAGAACCCACATAAGAGAATAGGCTGTAATAGTGTGTGCTTTATAATCTCAGTGTGGGGGAGGAGGAGATAGGTGGATAGGGCCTCACTGGTCAGCCAGTCTAGATGAATCAGCAAACTTCAAGCCAGGAGAGACCCTGCCTCCGAAATGAAGGTAGATGGTATGTAAGGAATGACACCTAAGGTGTGAGTTGTACACGTTACATGCACCCATGTATAAAAGTATACTCCATACTTGTGTATATACACACATATGAACAAACATACAAATGAAAATCAAATACACATTTCTAAAAATTAAAGTATCCATTTTGTTGGGCAGTAGTAGGGCACGCCTTTGATCCCAGCACTCAGGAGGTCGAGGCAGGAGGTTCTTTCTGAGTTTGAGACCAGCCTGATCTACAAAACAAGTTCCAGGACTGTTACACAGAGAAACCCTGTCTCAAAAGGAAAAAAAAGTATCCACTTCATGTATCATTCATTTGCATAGCAGAGGATGGTGGGGCCCATACCAGACATGGGGAATGAATGTGGTTAGAAGCAAAGGAAGACCATCACTTGAAGAGTGTTTTCCCCCAGGGGGCACCAATGAAACAGTTTTCTGTTGGGACTTGGCAAGGATTTGTTCCTACCTGGCATAACCCCTATAGTCAGCCCTGCCATTCAGTTTAAGAGGTGCCACGTGGTGCTCACTGCCCTCCTTTTACAAAGTGCCCTGGTTCCCTCTTGAACAGAGATGGAGACCTCGACCTTTGAGGCCTGGGAGGATCTTGGCAGTAATGCGTTTTGTCTTCTGTGAGACTTACTCTTGATTGGATTCAGCCGTATGTGGTTGCCTATGTAAGATGACCAATTGAAATTCAAATGTCATGACCATGAAGCGCCTCCATTCAGCACAGCCACTTTTGTTTTTGGCCTAGCTTCTTTGCATCGAAACCATGTGGCTTTCCTTTTCCTTCTGCAACCCCATAACTAGCTAGATAGAAACGATGTTTTTGATAACCCATTCTAGAAATGAAATGCAGCATGTTCTGGCTTTCCAGCTTCGTGTTTTAATGCTCTAAGAGATTCGGATGTGAATTCTTGGGGCTGAAAAAAAAGTATTCATTTTGAAACATGCAAATGTGTCTCTCCATCACCTAGGAAACTATTATGGGACACCCAAACCTCCCAGCCAGCCAGTCAGTGGGAAAGTGATCACGACGGATGCCTTGCACAGCCTTCAGTCTGGCTCCAAGCAGTCGACCCCTAAGCGAACAAAGTCCTACAATGATATGCAAAATGCTGGAATAGTCCACACGGAGAATGAGGAGGAGGATGATATTCCTGAAATGAACAGTAGCTTTACAGGTAAGAAGAAGCTGTGTTGCTTCTGAACGGATGTGCCAAAGGGGTGACTGGAGTCTTTACAGAAAGGTTCCAGCCAGTGTTTAGGGTTGTCAAGATTCAGACTCTGAGCACGGAGTGCCGGGTGACAGGTGGTCATTTCCTTGGTCTACGTACCATGCTTGCTCCCGAGAATCTTTGAATTTCACCCAAACCATCTTTAATGCATTAGGAATAAATATCTGCAATTTCAAACTGGTTTCTTTCTCTTCAAAATACTACAACATGTTTAAAAACTTCCTTACTTCATTGCTTGATTATTTTTATTTATTATTGTGAGGGGGCAGATCGTGAGACATGATCATGGTTGCTTCATATGAATTGAAACATAAGAAAATTGTTTTACTCATAAAACTGTCATTGAAGCTATGCTGGTGAGCTTCCAGAGCATCCTATTCTCACCTAAGTAAAGATATAATGGAACCAGATCAGGTCTTCAGTTAACTTGTACAACTTTCCATGTATGTCCTCCAGGGGGAATGATGGAAAAATAAATATTGTAAGGTTCTATAATGCATGTGCATGCTGCATTACAGAGCATGGGTTCCTGAGAAGATCCATATTATGAAGGGGTGGTGAAGGTCGAGGCCTCTGGACAATAGAAGACCCAGAGGCTTGGGTGCATATTCTTACTTAGTGAGTGTATTTTTCACAGTATGGGGTTTGATCTGCATGCTATAGCTTAAAATGTACTAACTATTTATGTGTATGGCTATACAGTTCAAGTTTGCACCACAACACACATGCACGGCCTATAGTGTATATGGAGTTGCTGATTGTTATGTGACTTACAAATTCATCTTGTTTCCTCCATTTTGCCTATATTTATATTCTCCTTTACTCTCTCAGAATTGTAGCCGTGGGTGGCTTATCTATTGTCAGCATATTAGATCCTTTTCTCTCCGTATTGTCGTTATCTAGTTAGACCCAGCCACAGTGAGTGGAAAGATTGGTCAGACTTATGCCTCCCTCCCTCTGCAGTGAAACTGACAGGATATTCAGGGAAAGGTTATTATAGTTAAACAGCATGTATGGCCTTTTGTACTTCTCAGAGGTTTTCTCAGAGATTAAGTTCAGAATCCTAAGAGATGGCTACAAAAAGTTTTGATAATTTTATTATCAACAATAGTATAGCTCAATGTTTTTTGCAAGAAATACTGGGTAAAGAAGGGGTACTTAGGTATTATGGCTTGGCTTGTGGTGATTTTCCTTTACAGACAATATGCATAGCTTCATTTGTGTGTAAAATGGCTGTATTAAACCACTTCTAACTTTCTCTAAGAATTTGATTCTATGAAAATTTCCATTTTTTTTCATTTAGGGTGGAATAGACAGTGGCTGACCTTTATGCAGTAGCTAGAAGATATTTGCCATTCTTATGCCTATTTTTATTAAAATTCACTGATTTAATTCCCTGGGAATATTTTGTGTGTTTATTGTGGTCTTCACCAAAATGAAAACAGATCATGCACAAGTGTTACCATTTCTTTTTAAAACATCTAATACTTTAATATCTTGGTAGTTCAGTAGATAAGAATAGCAAATCATGGTCTAACTCACAGCAAAGAGGAGGTCCCCAAGAATATCTAGCAGGCCAGATTCAGTGAGGCAGCTCTGCCAGCACAGGGAGCAGACCCCAGGAGTGGTCCCGAGGAGTAGACACAAGGAGAAGATCTTGGGAGTAGTCTCCTCTAGTAGACCCCAGGAGTGATCCTGAGGAGTGGATGCCAGGAGTAGACACAAGGAGAAGACCTCGGGAGTAGTCTCCTCTAGTAGACCCCAGGGCTGGTCTTTGGTAGAACACAGGAGTATTCCCCAAGAGTAGATCCCTGGAGTTGTCATCTGGAGTGGGTCCCAGAAGTAGTTCCCAAAGATAAGTTCCCAAGAATAAACCTCAGGAGTTGAGGCCTGGAACAGACCTCAAGAGTAGGCCCAGGAGTAGTCTTCAGTAGACCATGCAGTATTCCCTAAGAGTACATCCCTGGAGTTGGCTCCGGAAGTGGTCTCTGGAATTTGTTACCAGGAGCCTAGGGGCTCATGTTCCTTTACCTGTCTTCTACATACATGTTAAGGAGGCTTTTCTTGGTAGAAAGTAAGACCAAATTCATGATAGTAGCTTTAGTTATTGGTGGGTTTCCTGTTTTTAAATACTATACGTTTCTATTGGTAAAAGCCAGGTCTCAGAAAATCTGATTTCTTTATCATCCCCAGTTGAAATTCTAGCATCTAACTACAGCATATGTTCCCAGATCATTATTGGTAAAATGTCTTATCATTAGTTTATACACAAAGCAGGAAGCCAAATGATCACCAATTGTGTTCTTTTAAGTTTCCACCTTAATACCAAGAAGGCAGGTAGCTTATACTACAAAGGGGTGGCCTGCGCTGGAAGGATAACTCAGTGGTACAGCACATGCCCAGTGTGTAAGTTTTGGGCCCGGTTCCAGGCACTGCATCTGGGGATGGAGATGATGTGGGGCGGAGAAAGAAAGTAGAAAGGAAAAGGAGAGGGGAAAGAAGGAAGGGCGGGGTAGCTTGATGTGCATGTGTGATAGGGTAACATCAGCATGCAAGGAATATGTTGAATGAATTACTAGTTCACACTGATGCTCTGCCATGCACTAACTCAAACTGGTGCTTTCCAATAATTAACAGCACTGTGATATATTTGTAAAAGGAATTGTTCAAAGCATTTTGCACTATATACCTCTTTAAGTTGCCATCCACCAGCTGCTCCGAGCTAACAGTTCCTTGAACAACAGTGGCAAAATGGGGTCTTAGCTCTGTTTTAGACTGGCTTTGCTAAAGTTGTGACATTCACATCCAAACGTAGAAGTACTATGTGCCCAGTAGAAATGATACTCACCAGGACATTTAAAAATAACCTGATACTGCTGCAGTCCCTTGCTTGGATCATTTGAAGAAGTTATACCCCATTATCATGCCTGTGTAACATTCATTGTCAATATAGCATGACAACAGGGGAATAATGGCCACATGTACCCCGAGGGCATAGCTGTGCCTTCTTTATGAGATGACAGCAGACACTCAGCAATGAGCAGATACTAACCAAAGGACTGACGGTTGAACACTAGGTAGTGGGACAGTCTTCTACAAATGGCCCCCGAAGGACAAAGCTAAGAGGAGCCACTGAAGGCCAATTTTTCTTATGTGTACTTAATGGTAATAGAAATATACTGTCAGCCAAAATACATGTTATTTAGACAACCAAAAATATTAAAAAGCCATTTGGGGGGCTGGAGAAATGAATCAGTGAGTAAGAGCGTTTGCTGCTCAAGATTGAGAAGCTGAGTTCAAATCCCAGTTGGGAATAAACACCCACATAAAATTAAGACTTTAAACAATCCACGTGCTACCTTAGCCATTCTTTAGAGAACTGTCTGATATAGCACGAATTCTAATTGCTCTTAATAATAAAACCTCGGAGTCAGCTATCAGGGGTGACAGAGGAGCAGAACAGCCAGTCACTAGAGTTCTTACCTCTCCCAACGCTCAGACCAAAGGGGCAATTCTGTCCTCAGACTGCATCCTCAAACTGACTGCTCCGGCTGCTGCCTCAGACTGCTCCTCAAACTGCACCTAGCCCCTGTCTCCTCCCACCTTGTATTGCTCTCTCTACCCAGCCATGTTACCTCTGTCTCCACCTCCCTAGTTCTGGGGTTAAAGGCTTGAGATCCCAAGTGCTGGGATCACCTTTGTGTGAGCATTGTTTCTCTCTTAGACAGATTCAGTCTCTTGTAGCACAGGGTGGCCTTGAATTCAGAGATCCGTCTGCCTCTGCCTCCCAAGTGCTGGGATTGAAGGAGTGTGCCACCACTGCCTGGCCGCTAGTAGCTTAGCTATGCTCTCTGATCTTCAGGGAAGCTTTATTTGTTAGAACACGAACAAAAAAATCACCACAGTCTGAAAACATAGTTCCTGTATGAGCTGAGTCTTCCTCAATGTGATGTTTGAAGAAGTCCCTTTAAGCCGGGCAGTAGTGGCACATGCCTTTAGTCCATCCCAGCACTCGTGAGACAGAGGCGGGCTGATCTCTGTGAGTTTATGATAGCCTGGTCTACAGAGTGAGTTCCAGGACAACCAGGCTACACAAAGAAACCCTGTATTTAAAAAAAAAAAAAAAAAAAAAAAAAAAACCTCATCCTTTAGGGATGCACCAGAGACAAAAGTCAATAATCCCAGATTCCGTAATGGGCAGAGGTAACAGGTAGGATCTCCAGGGACTTGATCTTCATGTCCTTAATCTGGGAGCCCAGGTGACAGGGATCTCTCCACTCCTTGTCTTTAGCTTTGCCTTCATGAGCCCCATGGCCTGGACAAGGCCATGAACTCAACCATGACAGTGGCTCCTAAAACCACTGCTGAGTCTTTGGCAGAAACTGCCACTGCCTGCTAACCCTGGGCCCCTGGGTCCTCCAGGCCCTCCCATTGCCCTGGCATCATCCACCAGTTGGTGTTTTCCAAAAGAGGAAGAAGCAAGTTGTAAAATTTAGATTGTATTGGTTTGAAAAAGACGGTGCTTTTGAGACATTAAACAGTTGAATGGGGTCAGCTTTGGTTTCAGACGAAACCTCAGAGGCCCCATTGGGAATCTGAGGCGACATTCACCACTTTTTGTCTCTGCTTTTCTCTGCATACATCTTGCTAAGCCATGTTAGAAGGACCACCAGACATCCAGGGTTGAAAGCCTGTCTGCTTGATTATTCCAACATCAACAGGTTGCCAATTGCTCCACCTGAATTTCTAGACCTGATGTGCTGGCTAGTTTCTGTCAGCTTGACACAGCTGGGGTTGTTTAAGAAGAAGGACTCTCAGTTGAGAAAATGCCTCTGTAAGGTTTGCTTGTAGGCGCCTTTAGTGCATTTCCTTTGTCAGTGATAGATGTGGGAGGGCCCAGCACTCTGGGGATCATGGCCACCCTGGGGCAAGTGATCCTGGGTAGTAGAAGAAAGGAGGCTGAATGCGCCATGGGAAATAAACCAGTAAGCAGCACTTTTTGAGACAGGGTTTCTCTGTAACTTTGGAGCCTGTCCTGGAACTAGCTCTTGTAGACCAGGCTGGTCTCGAACTCACAGAGATCCGCCTGCCTCTGCCTCTGCCTCTCAAGTCCTGGGATTAAAGGTTATACCACCACTGCCTGGCCAAGCAGCACTCTTCTTTGGCCTCTGCTTCAGTTCCTGTCTCCAGCTTCCAGCCTTGAGTTTCTGGCCTTAACTTCTCTCCATGGTAGACTACAACTGCAAGCTGAAATAATCCGTTTCCTCTCCAGACTGCCTTTGGTCTTGGTGTTCTGTCACGGCAATAGAAATGGGACCGAGACACGTGACCTTCACTGCTTAGGAACATGCACCTGTTCCTGAACAATGGAAAGAGCAAAAATGATAGAATATTCCTAAACCCAAGAGTGTGACTTGGAACCATAGTGGGTTTGTGTCTGTTTCTATCTGGACCACCCGGACACAGAATGGCCTCCAAGCAGGAGCCTTAATGATGACACCAGAATGAGAGGGGAGAGTTGTTGGCCAGGAAGTCCTACAGATGGCCGAGTCGGTGGTGCTAGGTTGTGGTAGAACTGCTCATCTCGTACGCTTGGAATTGTGCCAGCCAGCCTTCGGAGAGTCTCCTCGTGTGTTGAGCTCACTAGCTGTTCATCAGACAGCTTGGGAACCAGTGTTTTATCCTTTATTCTGCTTTTGCTCAGAAATGTCTACCGGGGAGTGACTATGAGAGACAGAAAATGACTCTATCTTGATTAGTGTGTTTTGAAGCCCCATGGAGATTGACATTTAATATCATCCTCCTCTATGAAAAGTCAGCAGGGATATCAACAGTACTGTTTATGGCTGTTTTGATGACATCATCCTTGATGTTTCTGGTTAATACGGAGGCAAGGAGACATATTCACTGAGAGCCTTCTTTGAAGATCCAAGTCAGATCAGCCCGCCCACATGATACTGTTCTGGGGTAACTGTCTTGATTTTCACGGGAACAGTCTCTTTAGCTTCCCAAAGGAGTCTCAGTTCTGACTCACTGCCGTAGCTGTCTCAAGATTCTAAACTTTTGTATTCTTTCCAGCTTAATTTGACAGTATTTTATCTTTGCCAGCATCTATCTGTAGTAGGAGGCCACTTGTTCATTCTGGGTGTGCAAACCATGAATAACCACACAGAAACTATATTATTTAAATCACTGCTTGGTCAGTCACTTAAATGTATTGCTATCTAGCTATTATATCTTTGGTTAACCCATTCCTATTAATCTGTGTATCGCCATGTGGCTGTGGCTTACTGGCAAGGTTCTGCTGGTTGCTTGAGTCTTTTTCCTCTGGAGGTTCCATGACTTCTCGCAACTCCGTCTTCTTTTTCCCAGCATTCAGTTTAGCTCCCACCAACCCACACCCGCCTAGCTCTACTCTGCCCTATCACAGGCCAAGGCAGCTTCTTTATTCATTAACCAATAAGAGCAACACATAGAGAGAAGGACTTCCCACGCCATCTATCAAAAGTCTTCTAATAACTTAAACAAAAATCGACACAAGTGCCACTGAGTCTATGGGTTCAGTTTGATATTTTTCCCCTCTTCTGAATCATGAAACCTAATAAATTTGATGGAATGAGATCTCAGATCAGTTTGAGGAGATTTTGGTTCAGAATCCTTAGGGTTTGAGTTGATAAATTGGTTTCTTCTTTGATATCTTCAAGACAATTGTTCTCTCTTTTTTTTTCAAAATAACTTTTGCTGTGTTTTTTGTTGGTTTGCTTGTTTGTTTTGGTGAGTGGTTCCTTTTCCTCTAGAGGTTGAGGCCAAGGCCTGGCGTGTGCCAAGCATATGCTCCACTACTCAGTTATATCCCTGGCCGTCCTTGTCATTTTGATCCTTTCTGTTTACCCAAGTGAAATAGAAGCCAGAATTGATAGCCAGCAATGGGGAAAAGTAAGTTCTTTTAAGACTGTAGATGCTGGATTTGGGCATCTTTTTCTTCTCTTGAAATGATCAAGTGATTTTTGTCTTTGAGTCTATCTATGTGACATATTACAGTTACTGATTGGACCGTCCCTGAACCATCTCTGGAAAGAAGCCAACTTGATCTTGATGAAAAGGTTTTTTGATGGGCTTTGAATTTGGTCTTTTATTTTACTGAAAAGTTTTGCAACTGTATTCATCAGTTGTATACAGAACAGAAATTAAATAATTGTTAAATCTCTGGCTGTAAATGAGACATCTGTGACACCCTCACCAAGGTTTAGGGAACCTTGCAGATGAAGGGATTCATGAATTTATAAGAGCCAAAAAAAAAGGTAGGGAGTGGGGTGGAACCCTAACTTCTGGGTATGATGTCACTGTTGCACTCTTGAATCCATAGCAGCTATGATGACCTGCTCAAGATTTCTGTAAGATTGGACCTGGCAGCAGGCTGCCATGAGAGGAAGTAGTTTATACTCTATAATGCTTTACATTCGCTAATGGTTCATTAGAGGAGGTAGAGGCGTCTTCTTCATTAGTATTGCTATGGGCAAAACATACAAGTTTTTGTAAACATGCTGATGTAAAACTTAGGGGTCTCTAAAAGTTTGGGATATAAAGTAGGAGGAGGGCTAGGTGTGAAGAGCAAAGGAATCAGTGAGAAAGGGGAATATGAGAGGGTAATGGGTTAATATGATCCGAACCTATTGTATACCTGTGTGAAAATGACATAATGAAAGCCATTATTATGCATAATTAATATTTGTTGATAAAATCTAGGAACAGAAATGAGTGTGGGGGGAGAACGTAGTTGTATTTGTCATGCATTTCCCAAGCCTGCAGCGTGTTGTTGAACAGCTTTGTGCTTGTTTTTTTTTTTTCTCTCCCTTGTTCCTGATGGAGCAGCCGATTCTGGAGACCAGGACGAACACACTCTCCAAGAAGCAACGCTCCCGCCTGTGAATAGTAGCATCCTCGCTGCTCCCATCACGGACCCTTCTCAGAAGTTCCCTCAGTACCTACCTCTTTCTGCAGAGGATAATTTAGGTCCTCTACCTGAAAACTGGGAGATGGCCTATACCGAAAATGGAGAAGTCTATTTTATAGAGTAAAGTATACTATTTTCTCTACCTGAAAATACCCTTCTCGCTGCCTTCTTCCTGCGCTCTTGCTCTGGATATCAGCTAAGCCTGAGAGAACTGATCACACAGCAGTGTTATTCTGCTTATACAAGCTTCATCAGTCTTTTTTTTTATTTCATAATATTTTTATTCCACATGTTGTATATCTCAAAGAGATTTGTGTATTTCCCTTGTACTTATTTATGTTTCCTGTGTTTATGTTTCCATTAATTTTATTTTTATTGATTTTTATTGAACTCTACATTTTTTTCTGCACCTTTCCCTATTTCAACCCTTCAGCTCTCTTCCAAGGTCCCCCCAATTTACTCAGGAGATCTTGTCTTTCTCTACTTCCCATGTAGATTAGATCTATGTAGGTCTCTCTTAGAGTCCTCATTGTTGTCTAGGTTCTTTGGGATTGTGGTTTGTAGGCTGGCTTTTTTTTTTTTTGCTTTATGTTTAAAAACCACTTATGAGTGAGTACATTGTCTTTCTGTGTCTGGGTTACCTCACTCAAAATGATGTTTTCTAGTTCCATCCACTTTCCTGCAAAATTCAAGATGTCATTATTTTTTCTGCTGTGTAGTACTCCATTGTGTAAATGTACCACATTTTCCTTATCCATTCTTCGGTTGAGGGGCATTTAGGTTGTTTCCAGGTTCTGGCCATGACAAACAAAGCTGCTATGAATATAGTTGAGCACATGTCCTTGTGACACTATTGAGCATCCTTTGGATATATACCCAAAAGTGGTATTACTGGGTCTTGAGGAAGGTTGTTTCCTGATTTCCTGAGAAATCACCACACTGACATCCAGAGGGGCTGTACCAGCTTGCATTCCCACAAGCAATGTAGAAGTGTTCCCTTTTCCCCGACAACCTCTCCAGCTTAAGTTGCTGTCAGTGTTTTTGATCTTGGCCATTCTTACAGGTGTAAGATGGAATCTCAGAGTTGTTTTGATTTGCATTTCTGTGATGACTAAGGATGTTGAACATTTTCTTATGTGTGTTTCAGCCATTTTAGATTCCTCTGTTGAGAGTTTTCTGTTTAGGTCTGTACTCCATTTTTTTTTTTTTTTTGGATCATTTGTTCTTTTGATGACCAATTTCTTGAGTTCATTGTATTTCCATATCAGTCTGAACTATTCGGTGTGAGAGCGTTTAGGAAGAGTAAGGTCTACAATTTCTTTAAGGGGTTAGACAACTGAATCCTTTTTCTATAATTATAATAAATAACCATTCTGTTTTCCCATTAAAATGATAACGACTTGACATTTTTCTTAAATGGTTTCAGTTTTTTTACTACTGAGTTTTCAGGCTTATTTAATATTCTGACATAATTTATTGATTTTTCTTAAATGTAATTGTGATTTTTCTTAAGTGTGATTTTTCATTGCTTTTCAAAGTCAAGGAGTTTTTAACTTACCTGGTTTATTTTTTTTCCTTTGTGGAATGTGCCTTTACTGTGGTAGGGAAATCATTTTTTTAACTCAAAGTTTAAGACTTTTTGTTACAGTTCTTGAAGAAATTTCATAGCTCCCCACCTAATGTTTAGGTGTGTGGATGGATACATGCTAATTTTATTGCATGGTACAATATCGTTGAATCGGGATTTGAGAAAATGTAGATGGGAAAGGCTTAAATTTTCTGTGACTAAAGTTTTAAACAAGTAGCATTAGCAGAAATAGAGGGGAAAAAATCTAATATAATTCCTGTAACTGAAAACCCAAAAATCTTCTGGCTCCCCTAACAATGGAGGCACATGTTTAAATGCAGTGTTTTGAATCTGCTGTCGGTGATATGCAACACTTTTTATGGATCATAGATGGATCGGGGACCAATTAATTATTCTGTTAAAGCAGTAGCACAATGCTCTAATTGTATCCCCAATACACAAACAAAAATATAGATAAATCTATTCTTCTCACATAAATGGTCTACTGTTAAGTGAGCCAGGAAAGGAAGGCATTGCAAAAGAATATCTGAAGCTCCTCTTGTAAAACACATGCATGCACCTAAGCGAGGGGTTTGTTTTCTAACCATAGTGCATATTTTAAATTTAGTATGCGCCATATATTTTATTGCTAGAGAAAGGAAATAAAAATTAAAAATACAGTTCTCCTCAGCACATAGCCATGAGGAAGAAAGCTAGAGGCTCAGAAAAATCACTTTACAAACCTGCCTAGAAAGAAGTTTGTGAGGCTTTGGTATTGTCCAGCCAGAGGGTGGCCCTTGCCTGTTTCTTGCTAGTGTCAGATGCCTATTAATTAAACACAGTAATGGGGGCAGCACAGTGGTCGGTGCTTTGTTTTCTCCACTTCCCAGCTGTGTGGGCACCTTGCATCCTTATTGAACCTCTTCCGTGGATACAAAGTGTCAGACCTACCTGGTCCCTGGGCTGGAGGGAGCAGCATGTGCAGTGCTTGAGGCGATGGCACATGGCTGTCACTGCTCCTGATAGTACCACATTCCTCCCTCACAACTACTGCAGATAAATTTCGGCATTGCTAAAAAGAGATTGGATATCACCTTTAAGTTCAGACTTTCACAGTTAGATTTTATAACTAGTCTTCAAAATTACGTCCATTAGCAAGAATTGTGTCTAGCAAAGGAAAATATAATAGAGGTGTTCCCAATATCAAATAATGTATGAAATGCACATTCTTGGAAAAGAATCAACCTATAATTCTGCCAAGGACTGAATTGATAAACTTTAGAAAAGAAAGTTCAGTATGCTAACAGTAAATTAAATGATAGCCCCCCAAACTATGGGTAGCTTGAATATATACTCTGTCCATGTTTGTAAGTTAACATAACTTTTAGGAGGACCGTCCCATTGCCCTAATATCAATATGTGATTCTGGCAAGTATGACACCGGCTTTCCAGGTGTTAGTTCAATGGGTATTGACGTTATACTCCATTTGAGACTAGAGATGTTCTTTGGTGGTGGAGCTCCTGCCTTCTGTATATGAAGACTAGATTTGATCGCCAGCACCTGAAAAGAAGACAAAAATCTATGCATACAAACATTCATACATGCCATTTATATGTTAGCCTAAATTTTACACACATAGCACATACAGAACTAAACTTTCAATGGTGTTTTCTTTCTAAAAATAACTTAGAGTATCTTGCATTGAATAGCAAGTTAAATTAGAACTAGATTGAATATGTGTGTGTGTGTGTGTTTTACATATTTGGAAAATTCTAAAATATTAGATTGGTTTTGCAGTTTTGGGAAAAGCTGAACTATTTTAAGTTAATAAGAATATTAAAGACAAAATATTTTAAAGACAAAATATAGACTTAGGAGCCTTGTACACTGAACTAAGAGAACTCTGAACGGAGCCCTTGTATCCAACTGTCCCAACCATGTCTTCAGAGGAACCATGGACAGGTCATTCCTGGAGTTTTCTTTTTAATTCATTTATCTTAGGATTTGAGCAAAAGAAACTGGCCACTCAGAAACACTAGCAGATAAAGAAACAGATGGTCCTAATGAAAGCCTGCTTTCTCTTGCTGAATAATTGGGAAAGGAGGGGAATCCTACAATTCAGCCAGCTCTTGGTGAACAGTTCCTGAACCCCAGATAGTCACAGAACATACCAGGATCCTACCCTTTCTCCCAACAGCCAGTTGAAGAGGGAACCTAGATATCACCCCTTAATAGCCTAAACCTGCCTGCCAGGTACTCTCAGAAAAACTTTTCTCAGAGATGTAATGTTGATTGTAGCCAGGCAGATACAATGCTGCCTGCCCCTTCTCTACCTAAACACCGTGCAACCGTGAGAAGGGAGTGTGGACCTCCTCCCAATGTGGTAGTGCCATTTCCCTTCTAGGGTGTTGTCCAGGGTTTCTGTCATGGTCCTGTAGTAGAGCCCACAGGTGAAGCTCCTAGTTCAGAGCAGTAGTGAGATTCTTCTGTCCCTTCCTGCTGTGCTGGTATCAGGCAAGGCCTCCTAAATAACTGGCATAAACCTCTCAAAATGAGGGAGGGGGTAGCAATGATGTCCTTCCCCATATAGTCTCACTGAAAATGAGGTAAGGTCCCCTATAACTGTCTGGAACATAGTCAAAGTAAGCCAGTTAAAGTAGGTTTAAGGGAAATCCATAGTTTTGTAATATAATATTTTTGAACATTTGAGTTAATTAAAAAGTCACTTCTTAGCTGAACCTGTTGGTACAAGCCTTGAATTCACCTATTCAGTGTGCTGGGTATCAGGATTTAAAGGCCTTCCTTAGCAACATATTGATACCCTCTTTCAAAATAAATAAAAAGTGAGTTAGGTTATAGCTCAGTACTAGGGCATTTGCCTAGCATATATTAGGCACTGGGTTTAATTCCCTGTACTACAAATAGATAATGATTTATTGTTAGGTAGGCAGGCAGACAGACAGACACATTTCGTGTAGCAAGAGACAGAAAAATCTCATGTTCAGTGAGAGAAAGCAATCAGTAGATACCAACACAAAGATGGCAGAGATGTCAAGATTTCACAAGCACCCATCATATATAGTTAGGCATGACATCACACTTCTGAAGTCTCAGCACAGGAAGATGGAAAATCTAGAGCCAGCCTGAGCAAGCAGCATTTAGAGAGCTTGTTTCTTGCATACATGAATGAATGAATGAATGAATACATAAATACATGCATACATACATATATACATACTTACAGCCATTACAAAATACTTCACTAGTCAGTTATAAACATACTTGAAATAAATAGAAAAAATTTAAACAAAACAGTAGAAAACATAAAAAAAGAAAACCTTGAACTTAAAAAGTGCAACAGTCAAATAAAATGCCCACTAGTTGGGTTCAGCAGCACTACCATCAGCATCAGAGTGAGAGCCAGAGAAGGCAGATGTGGAGGTGGAAACCAGAGACTGCCTAATCCGTACAACACACCAACCCTGGGAGAGAAGTAAAGGAACAGACTTCTGGGTGCTTTGGCGCCACTTCCAATCATACAACACTGGTGAT